CCTCTTATGTGCTCACTCTAGATAGCATCTTTGGTATAATAGATGAAAAAGCAATGGTTAGCAAGATGGGAATCTGTCACAGTTGCTTGACTTATTTTGGAGTAACTAGAGGCTTGGGCACGCTTTCTGGCCTGGAAGATCTGGTTCTTGTAAATGTTTTTAGGTTGATACTTACGGATAGAAACGTTGTTCAAAATGAGAGGTATAGCTAAACCATTGGAAATAATCAGTACATGAAGTACATAATTCTGGCTTACATTCAGTTTACTGTTCAGGTTACTGCAAATTATACAGTCTGAGTTAGTGAAGCCTATTTTCACGCCAAACTTTTATAGTCTTACTGCGAATTAATATGGGTAAGATTCTGGAAAGAAATTCATAAAAACATGTTCATCTTACCCAATGGATCTTTTTGTGGGGAAATAAACTAGTTTTTCATAGCTTTGTCTTAGGAGGCTGCTTAGCACAGAATGAGGTTCTTCTGCGCGAGGAGTCAGGTCACAGGCACATGTTGAAAGCACACGTGTTCTCTAGGATAATTTGTGGCAGATGCCTTTGATGTATTGCCATCTAGCCTGACTGCCTCATGTTTGCTCTGGGTTAAGAATCATATAATCACTTACCATGGGTTGGCTAATCCACATCTACATGCCTAGTGTGGAGTAGATGCTGTACTTCAAATGAACATCATAGCCTTGTAGTAGCTGCTTTGTGTAGATGATCGCTGCTCATTTCTTGGATATGAATCTTCAGTCTTGCTGTACTTTTACTGTACTTTCTACCTTTGTACTTCTCTCACCTATAACTATCAATTGTGTAAAGCAATGAAGAGTTTGATTCTTTCCTGTAATGAAGGCTGAACAGTTGTAAAGACTGTAGTTATCTTCGTTGGGAGTGTAAGTAACATTCTTTTTCTTACCCAGAGTATTATGCAGTATTTTATTGCATGTTTTGTACTAGTGAACTTCAACAGGGTTAGGCAATACAGTTGCTTTTGTAGAGGTGCAGTTGCAAATCTTCAGTGTTACTGAAACGTCTGTAGTCCAGACCTTTGTTTGCAAAATCTTTGCTTTGTTGGAAAAAAGCCATAAACTCAAACAGAACTGAATTATGTGAAAGTCATTTAGTGGTAAAAATTTAAACTGTTATAACAAAAATAGAAGAAACTAAACCATATTTAAAAACAAACTAGAACTGTTTTTTTTTTTAGGAAAGTCTAGTTTTGACATCTCTGCTGAAATTTGGTGTATGATTTTAGTGTAGGTAGGTAAATGGAGATTGTCAAAACAAAAGTCTTATCAATCACTTAAATACGTCTAAGGTTTTGAAATCTTCACAATTATACTCCTGTTGGACTATTCTTTTGGACTTTAACTTACTTCGTAAGTCACTTGTTTGTTTTTGCCTGTCTCCATTTTCTCATTCTCTTTCCATAGACTGTACATAAAAATGTAGATTACTTTAGGTTGGAAGGGACCTCAGAAGGTCCTCTAATAAACCCCCTGCTTAAACCATGTCAAACTTTAAAAGATCTGATTGCTTATGGGCTCTAGTGCCTGATCACTTTGACTGTGAAGGTTTTTAATTTCTTGATCTGATAAGAATTTCCCTTGTTGCAGCATGACTGCTGCCTCTCATCCTTCTGCTGTGAGCCTCCAAGAAACATCTGACTGTGAAGGTAGAGTTTATATTCCCCCTCCTTGCCTTTAGCCTTCCATTTCACAGATGGAATAAACCCACCTCCTTCAACTGCTTCTTGTGCATCATGTACTCTAAGCCCTGGCCATCCTGATGGCCTTTTTCTGGGCTGTCTCCAGCTATCCCTGTGGATATGACTCTGCATTCATTGCTGTCTAAGCTTCCCTCGTACAACTGTCCCAGCCAGCTGCAAGCTTAACTTAAAATTCTTGTTAACTGCTGCCGCCTTTGAAACAATGATCAATGTTTAATATCTGTATGCTGTGTGTCTTATGTTGTGGAAGTTTTAGCAGCTTTTAGGTGGTTTGTACTTCCCAGGAGTTCCTTTTCAGCTATGAGGTGTTGTGGGCATTAATGCAGAAGGTCAATAAAGAGAGTGAGTTTACTTTCTGTAGTTTTGATGGGGGTAGTAAGCATTCAATCCTCCTCCTTCTCTCCTGTGATAAGAAGATGGAAGATGAAACAGTCATCACACTTTTACCAAGGGTTATCCTTTTTTGCTTGATTTCGTTTTTTGCTTGGTTGGGTTTTGTTCTTTTCTAAGGTTAAAGCTGTTCCCCTTAGTGCTGTGCCCTTTGGTTATATACCTGCCTGTGGTATCGCTCATACCATACCCTGTAACGAGCAGTCTTGAGATATGTTGCTTTGGGCACTTATGTTTCAAAATACATAGCTAGTATTTTCATAGGTGGGTGTGAGACGAGTTGTGTAAAGTGTAGGATGTGAAAATAATTATATATTTGTTCCTCTCACTTAATGAAGGGTGTCTGTGGGAATAGGATAAAAAAGCAAGAACACTATATATGACAGTCTTTCTGAACAGGCAGTGCAGCAGTGTGGGATGCAGGGTACTGTCTTCTGCGTCTGTACTATGCTTCTTATGCTATGGTTAGCACAAAAATTGCTGATCTAATTTGGATTTAACTGTGCAAATATTTCTTTATCTAATTAGCATTGTCCATGCAAATACTTTCAAAGAAGCTTTTAGACAGATGTAACTTTTCTGTAATGTATATGATGTAGGCACTTTGGGGTATCAGGACATACCAGATTATTAAGCATCTCTGTTGTTCAACCTGCATTTTGTAGAGAAAGAAACTTCATGTTTTGCTAAACTTAGTTTGTAGTAACTGTGGTATCGCAGCGACTTTCCCTTGTTTGCATTTACAAACTTAATTCCTTTCATTCAAGGCTAGACTTGCCAGTGTTACTTCTGTTCTTGCCTATGTTCTCTCCCAGTTGGCTACTACTAGTTCTCCTTCCTAACGTGCCTGCCCTCTCCCCCCGCCCTCCCCCAAGTTCATTCGTATGCTTTTCACATAAACGCTCATCAGTTCTGTGAGGGATGATTTTCTGCTGGGTTACAGAGCCTGTTTTCTTTCACACACTGCAAGAGATACCAAAACATGATTTGGAAGTCCAATGGTGTTTCAGAAAACATTTCTTCCAGCAGAAAATATCATCTAGAATGGGAATAGTTTTTTTAGTAATTTTAGATGGTGGATTTTCAAGTGGCACCTCTTTCTTTGTTACTGTTGACTAGTTGGTAAATGTTGCATTTAAGAACAGAAGTTCTCGCTTTCTAATATGCATTTGCACCTCTTATACCAAAATGTATGACATGACATCCTGTGATGCATATACCTTTGTGTTTAATGTGCGTACCTGCCAGATAGCCTTGCACAAAACTACTTGTGTTATTACTTAGGTGGGAAGACCTGAAGATCAAGAAGCTGCAGGGCTTGGTTTTAATGATCCAGTTCAGAGCATGTCTCTTGCTGAGTAATATCCTAGCATTGTCTTAACAGCCCCAAATCATCATCCAATAATAGATAACCGTGACTTAAAAATGAGGTCATGAATGCCTGTAGTCATCAAGTCATCACAGTTTTACTTGTAGATAAAGGAATGGCTAATCTCTCCATCTCATTACATTTTGAATGTGCAAATCCTTTCCTGCTTGCTTCCTTTAATAATTAAACTTGTAAATAGCAGCTTTTTCAGTTCTGACCATACTAGTTCTGAGTTTGTGGTAGCCATGCTTACCTCCTTCTGGGGCTGAAGGAGGGTCCTGTCTTTTAGGAGTCCTTGATGAACGATTGTTCATAGCAGGGCATAAAACTGTCTTCAAAGGTTAAACGTTTCCCTTCAGATTAAACAGATGTTTCCAGTTAAAACTCTAGTAGCCCATAGACAGGCAGGCATAGGGCTTACTCAAGTCTTGATCCTTATTGAGCTATGGCCTTTGGCAGGGCTGGCAGTTTGAGTGAAAATTGCTGTTTTATTTTTGGGGTGGTAATAGTAGTAAAATGTCATCAGTACTATGTTGCATTAAGTTTAAGCTTCATATTGAATGCTAGCAAGCTGTGTTACATCACGTTTGGATGTTAATATAGTTGCTTCTGTTGTTTTTATCACTGTAGCATCATGATCTTAAGTCATCTCTTCCTTCATCACCATTTGGAAATAAATTACTGGATTATTACATGTTATTGTATTGGTTGTATTATAAGCATGGCTCCTCGTGGTTATACAGTTGTGACAGTAGCAAATCTAGAAGAAAGATAAGGTAACTTTTTTTAACAACTATTTGAAGAGTCACTAGATCTTGTCTACTGGAAGTCCAGGTTGAGCAAAAATTGGATTTAGCTAGCCAACCCGCTAACCATCTTTTCAGTTAACAACCCGCTTTGTTGTAACTAAATTAATCTGTCAGCTTCTGTAGCTAGGGGCTCATTTTTTCACTTCACGTTTCCTGTGCCCTTTTGAAGGTGTTGATTGCATTGTATCAAGACTAAGCAGTATTTTAATCTTTTATTACTCACATTGAACCGATGTCTAGAAGGGTTTACTGGTCCATAAAGAGGCCAGAAATCTGAGATTTACAATTAATTCTAGTCATGATTTTCCAGTAAAACTCGATTAAGTGGTAGCATGTAAGAATTATTTTGCTGTTAATGCTTTAGATGTTTGAAAGCTGGGAGTTGTTAGTCAGAGATAGTGTAAATCGTTATAATACTTGTGTTCCAGGACCTTCTAAGGCAACTGCAAAAGCAATTGAGGACCAGGAATCTTGGCAGTGAGCAGAGTGGATTTTGTATTACAAGGTTCTGGTAGACTAGTGCTTTTCAAGTGCTAGACTAGTGCCATGGTGCTTTTCAAGAAATAATTTATTTTACTGGAAAGCCCCTCAGTTTTCATAGAAAATATTACTATATAAAATGAGTGTACTGATTTATTTTTTGGTATGTTATTAATTTTCCTTCACAGAACTCATAATAATAAAAATTTCTGTATTGCAGATTTAATCCAGTGCACAAATGAGATGAATGTGAACATCCCACAACTGGCAGACAGTTTGTTTGAAAGAACTACCAACAGTAGCTGGGTAGTGGTCTTCAAATCTCTCATCACAACCCATCATCTAATGGTGTATGGAAATGAGGTAATACAAAAAAATGATACACCTGAGAACAGTTACAGAACTTCATTCCTATAAATGTCAGCTAAATGCTTCTACTAATTATCTTTGTAAGAAGATCTGTATTTTTACCTTTTTCTGTCTTAACTCTGCATGAACACAGGTCTCATTATATGTTTGTCTACTTAGTTTGTTTCTACTTTAAAGTTGTTAATTCTAGAATCAAAAGTCAGTGTCCTGAATGCTGGAGGTACCTCTTTCTGTGGTGTTATTCTAATAATAAGAAACAAACCAAACAAAACCAACAGAAATTATCTTGAATGGAATTCTGAAAGCTTAAAATGGAAGCATTTTTTGGTTCATGCTCTAGTTAATTCGGATGGTCTTTTCCCCCAGATAACTTGATTCTGAGCAGATTTCCACCATCACCCCTTAAACTTTTGCAGTGAAGGCAAATGTGTGCCTGTGATCTGGCTTTGAGTATGAGCATCTAAGTAACACCAAATACTGTAGAACAATTAAACAAAACCCCAATTTAAACAAAAAGGAATAAGCAGCTTTTGTTCCACAACTTGAATTCCTTTGGGGCCTTATATTTTCGAGATGCCAAGCATAGCAGCAACTTGAATTTTCTGCATTTTTAAAAAAAACCCAAACTATACTTTAAGGCTCTCTTAGAAAGTGTTTGTAAACATTCCTTTTTACTGCAAACAGTCAGTATAATGTAAGCTATATGAACTTTGGAATCAAGCTTTAGAAATATGAAATTTGGAATTAAGCTTTAGAGAATTGCAAGTAGGATTTTGTGGAGAGGACCAAAACTTTTCATTTCAGGTTGCATTCAAGTTCTTATAGGTCATGTAACTGCTTCCTCTGGCTGACTGGCTGTGTTGTGAAGGGGTTTAAGTTTTAAAAAAATATATATATATTGGTTTCTCTTGCAGTTCAGCTATGGAGTATTTCTGGTCTTGGTGAAAATCTATACTTTGAAGCTAAGTAAGCCACAAGAGGGCAAACTTCTCATGTTGACTTTAAGCATTATCACTGGGATAATTGACACTTTCTAAAATAGGGTCTATACACTTTTGCTGTGCTTGCACTTCGAGTCATATAAATTTTAAACTGATATCAATACACTTCACAGTAATTAAAGGTATTTCATGGGACCACTCTGAAATACTTTCCACTTAAGAATAAAACTGCCAAAGATTTTGCTTGCCAAATGTGTTAGAGAAGTAATGAGGGTAAGATAGCTGCTCAAGATGAAATTTTTCACAGCTAGAAGTAGTACTTGAACAATGAACATGGAAAGTGAGTGCTTATGAAAATGTCTAGAAGTTTATGGAGAATCTGTAAATCCCTTTGTAAGACTGAAAAGTGTTTGGTCCTCCAGCTTTTGCTTAATTCATTTATAGCTAGGTACTGAGTGCTTTTACCCTTCTCCAGTGTTTTTTCTATGTAACCTATGTGTTTATGCTAATGAAGAACATTTGGTAGTACATGTTACACTAATCAGAACTATTTTTTCCTCTGTCAAAATGTTATTACAAATGAAAGATTGGTATATTTTTGTAGCAGCTCTCTATACAGTGGTTCATAAGACAAAATTATTTTTCTTACTAAATAAGATGTGGTGCCAGTGATCTGAAATGTCTTCACAAAATGAAAATAGCATCATTCATTTTTCTGAAACGTAATTCAGAATTATGTGTAACTAATGACATGTACTAAGGGTGATACTGTGTTAACGTTTTATAGGGATTCTTATCTTTATTTAACATTTGATTTATAAGCAAACTAATCTTTATATGACCTTGTTTTCATGTTTAAGCTAAGTACTATTAAAATTGTATGATGAGCAAAGATGCCTTGCCTAATTGGTAAAATGAAATCAACTGTTATAAAATTGAAGTTAGTGAAACAATTGTGAGCATGTAAAATGAGAATGTATTGGCAGTGATTTTTTTTCAGGAGTTTACAGTTCCATATTCTGGCTTAAAATAAACAAGAGTCTTTCAGTCAGAGGCTTTCATGCAATATCTGTGTGACTTTGATTTTGTTCACAGATTTTTACATAAAAAATAGTAACTAGCTTCATTTGAAAATTTAGCTGAGTTTTTGTAATAGCTTCCAGATCTGAAATCAGTCTTAAAGCATAAAAACTGAATTTCATAAGCTGGATTGAAATTGTTTCTAGTACTGTTACCTCAATTCCAGCTCATTGGTAATATACTAAAAGCATTTAAATTTTTCCTTTCTAGCGTTTTATCCAGTATCTGGCGTCCAGAAACACATTGTTTAATTTGAGCAATTTCCTAGACAAAAGTGGATTGCAAGGTAAGGTGTCTTTTAATGAAAAAGTTAGTAGTGTGCTGGGGGACAGTAAATACAACTTGGTAACACTAATGGACTATGTAACTTAGGAAGTAATTTTTCTGTCTGTTTTACCCCAGACTGCATTTCTTAATTTAAAATGCTATTGTGGCATGGCAGAAGCTGTCTGCTGGAGGAATTTGTTGCATCTTTTAGGAAAGGCTTACTTATAAATGCTTCTAGCTTTCTTAGCTAAACAGATCTGACTTGGTATTCCTCCTAATTCTGAAGAGATTTCTCCATTTGGAGAGGTATATTTTGATTAGTAAGTTAAATTTCAAAAAATGCATCATGTGTACATTAGATACAGCATGTCAGTGAGACAAGAACTGTGCTTAAAAAAAATAAATAACTTTTTGGGAAATTGTTCAAAGACCATTCTGTCCATCTTTGAAACTAATTCTACGCGCAAATAAGTTTTTCTCTGGTTCAGATTTTTCAGCTGAAATACCCTTCCAAACTGTTACGCTGCTGTTCAGTGCAGTTCTGATCATACACGTAGCTGTTATCTTTTTTTTTTTTTCTCCTGAGGTGGTTTCTTACTTTCTGCATTACTTTTTATATAGCTGCTTCTAATTTTTGCCACAGGTGTACTACACCAGGCACACAGAGTGGTTGCCTGGGGACAGAAACCTTCTCAGTGATAACCAAGGGTCTACCAAATTACTTCATTTTATTGAGTCTTAACTTCCACAGTCTCAGGATAGATTATGAACAGATCTTTTTCTTATTCTGTGTCCTTAGATTGGCAGTTATAAAAATATTTTCTATTGCCACTGTCTTTAACATAGGAAAATTTCTGTCATGTCTTAATGTTTCCTTCAATGCCTTTTTTTCTCTAGTCAGTTTTAAATGGGAGAATGTGTTGTGGAATTGATGTTTGCATCTTTGTGAATGCATCATGTAATTTTTTTGATAGTAACTTATATCGTATGAGAGAACTTGTATAAAAATACTTTGTTTTGCTTTTGGAAGTAATTTCCTTAGGAAGTTAAGTGTAAACTTCTATGTAGTTGAGGTCTTCTAGATATTTGCAGTATTGTCTGTTTGATTTACATGGTGAATACAATGACATACATGGTTTGTTTTGTAACAGATTAACTATACAAAATCAGGCCAAAATGTAATGAAGCTGTCTTGTGTTAGTATCTGCACTTTATTTAGAGTAAAGTTCTTGATCTTTAATTGACTAGGTAAGTAATAAGCATCTGAAACTTGTTTTTTAGGTTATGACATGTCAACATTTATCAGACGGTATAGTAGATATCTGAATGAAAAGGCAGTTTCCTATAGACAAGTGGCTTTTGACTTCACAAAAGTAAAAAGAGGGTAAGGACTGTATTTTGCTTCTCTAATCTTGAGGGGTTTTCTTATGTCCTGCAATTCAAGTGGAAAATACCAATGTTGGCTCCAGCTTAGTACAGACAGTAATGTCTGCTTTTCTCAGTTGAGTATCTCCCATGACACAGAAAGGCTCAACTGCCCAGTTATGTATATTGCAAAAATATTTTACTTCAGTTGTTGTGATTTTACTTCTTTAAACATTAACAGTTCAATACAAAGAACTAAAAAATGGTATGCATCAAAGTAGTAGATGCTATTCTGTCTACAGGAATTAAAATTTTCCCTGGAAAGTGAGCTCCTTTAAGAGAAATCGGTTGTTTGAGAGTAGGTGCCTGTTTACATGTAAAATAACACAGTGCAGAGCACCAGTAGTTGGGTAAATTGCACGTTATAGTGCACAACGGAATTAAGCTGGAGATCTCTTCCATCAGGAAGGCTGGAGAGCATGTACTGGTCATGGTTGAAAATCTTTCCGTCTTTGTCCATCAACTGTGTATGCAGTGCTTTTTAAAGTTTAAAAATGTAATTTTAGTTTTATGTTTGGGCATCTTTTATCATCCATACACAGGATAATTTATATTTATGCTAAAACTTAATTCTTAACCCACAAAAATCTCAACTTAAAACAGTTAAATGAGTTACCTGTGGTAGTGGGCTGTCTAATGATACCTTGCATTAGTATTACAAAGGCATTTGAAATTGGCCTGAGAACACTGTCCAGATCCCTTATACCTCCTTGCTAATACTGTACAGTCCATTTTGTTTTGAAATGTGATGGTAAAGTAAAAGGGGAATGCTTGGGCTCCTTTTGCTCTTTCTGCCTTTAGAGATGATTGGAGTCCCAACAACACGGAAAACTTAGCCTTTTCCACGTATAGGACGTGTGTGTGGTCAGGTGGCTGCAGGTACACTAGAGAGAGAGGCAGTTGTTTTATAATCAGGTGTTTTAGGCCCAGTGAGGTGAATTATTTAGGCCACAGCACATGCCTGGAGGTCCTTCTGTGAGCCAGCAGGAATAACTGCTCTGGTGGCAGCAATCTACCTTTTCCACACCTCGGTTTTTCTCAGGGACTCTGCACCCATGCCCTGCCACATTAAGTTTATTGCAGTTGCTGTTTGCTGTTAGCAGGGAGCATACAGCATGAGTGGAAAGAGCAGAAAGCTGGAAGCAGTGTGTTCCCCATTGCCTTCCAGCCTGGAGAACAGCCACAGCCTTTTCTGTGCAGATGCACTGTGAGATTTGCACTTGCTGGAAACATTTGGTTTGCTGTGTGCATGCTGGTGAACTGCAAGGCTGTCTGATTTGTCTTACAGAAAGCAGTTGTTTCTTGTCACTGAGATGATTTAATCTCTTCCTCTGTTGTTGCTTTTCTTGGATATTTTTGGTCTTACTCTATTCAATCTGGACAATTAATAAACAACCAAATATTGGTAGTCAGCTATTAAAAGGAGGTGTCATGTAGCCTCTCTAATCTTTCTGAAAAAGCTTGAGCACATATTGCTACATTTGTTTATTCTTTCTCACTGCTTTTAGTTGGAAAGAAAATCATCCGAACTGACACAAAATAATAATCAGGTGATTGGAAAAAGCATAGGTAAAAATTTGCTTCAGAAATCACCTTCAGAGCATTTTTTTGGTTACCTGATGCATCGTAGCTCTGCTATATTCCTGAGCGCTATCAGTTTCATTTCTTCTGAATAAAAATTCATCTTGGATTCATATTTTGGCTAGAAAAAAGTTGTTGCTTTTGTACACTGCAGTTATTACAGTTGTATTGGCTAGACAGCATTCCTAAACACCAAAATGCCTGCTTTGAATGGCAATGATTTAAATGTTTTCTCTCATGACCTGTTTTATTTTCTATGTTATGTTTCTCATTAACAATTGCCTTCAAAATTCAGGTGAAGAATTTTCTTTTGTTTTGCATAACAGGGCTGATGGAGTGATGAGAACAATGAGCACAGAAAAACTCCTAAAAACTGTACCAATTATACAAAATCAAATGGATGCACTTCTTGACTTCAATGTAAGTTTAGAAGCATGTGTGTGTCTTAACATACTATTGACTTTGTTGTACAAACATGCACAAGCTTGTAAAATAGGTCAAGATTAAAGGTCTTGAACTTGGTTCCATGTTATCTGCACAGCTTAAAGAGCACAAATTGTTTTGTTGACTGGTATACCCCCAAGAAATCAGAAAAAAAAGAAATACAGTGCTCACTGGAGAGAATGCTTTGTGCTAAATTAGTGTTGTTTATTGTGTAGACTGTGTGCAAAGAAGAATTGTTCATTTAAAAGTTGATTGTTTCTGCCCTCTGTCTTCTAGCTATATTATTTAGCATTAACATGAGTTAACAAAAATGTCTGCTAAAACGATTTGATTTAATTCTGTGCTGAGAGATCCTGCATTGATTTGCTATGCTGCTACTTTCCACTAATAGCCAGTGAGATGATTGGAAAGCATGCCTTGGGATAGAGTACTGGAGTTCAACTAGGAGTTTTCCAATAAGGGATCAATTCAGTTAAATTAACTTTTTTTCTGATTTTCCTAGGTCAATAGCAATGAACTTACAAATGGTGTAATTAATGCTGCCTTCATGCTCCTCTTCAAAGATGCCATTAGACTCTTTGCGGCATATAACGAAGGGATTATTAACCTCTTGGGTAAATATAACTGCCTTCTGCAATGTTAAAATTTGGGGAGGGAGCTCGGTAAACAATCACGAAGAGCTGCTCTTTTTTGAGAAGTTGAAATAGTCCTACAGTAAAACACCAAAATATTATTGTTATTTCCAACTCAGATTTATTTTCAGGGTTTTTCTGTCCAATTGCATTTTCCATTGCATTGTATACAGGGCTGGGTAAATTTCTGAAAGCAAAGCCCATTCAAGATTTTCTTCTTTTTTTTTTTTTTTTTTTTTGGGCTGCTTTGTGGGTTTTTTATGGTGTTTGGGGGGGGTTGTCTCATTGAACTGTGTGGCAAACCTGAATCATGATACCAATTTTTTTTTTTTTTTTTTTCTTTAAGAAGCAAGATCAGGTTTTGTTTCTTTTTAAGTGGCAAAAGTTATGGTCAGTTACAAATTTGCAGTCACAGTATCTGGGATTGCTCGGCTATTGAAACTTTAATATTGCTTGATTTTAATGATTGGTTGGCTTATGTTTCTAAAGCATATCTTATATATTTTAAGGGGAATTACAAACTCCAGGTTCAGGCCCTTTCACTTGCACACACTGGAGATGCAGGGGAGCCTAAATTTGGAAAATAATTAAGTTGAAAGTAATCTGTTGATTTGCTTGATTTGGTTGTATTCTGTGATTGGATCAAGCTACCTGATTGCCGTTACTACCCAATGCTTGCAAAATGGAAAGGAAAATCCAGAATTAGTCAGTAAAGGACAGTCATGCTTCCAGTCTGAAGCCCCTGTCTACTTCTTTCCCTCAGTAAGATGAACTAGCATGCAGTTGCTTTCACTCATGGTTTGAGTGAAACTTAATATAGAAACAGGCCTTGAAAGTGCTATTTCAAGGAGGGTGGGACCCTCTCGCTTTCAGCACCAATGTTTTGTAATCAGTTGTACCTCGCTGTAGACCACACCATAACAAGAGGCATCGGTCTGGCAGAGAACATCAAACTCTTGCCTGATATGTGGCCACTGGAGTAGAGCAGATGTTTAACTGCCAGATTGTAAAATTGCTCCCCCCTTCGCCCCCCCAGAGGATTAATTTACATTTCTTTGGGTGACCTTTTTTTAAACTTGATCGTCCTCTTCAGGGTGGTTATGCTTTTGTGAGATCTAGTACCTGCAAGGTAAGGTGTAATTGCATGCATGTGATCATTAGGTCATGTTCCACAGAGCTTTTGTCATTTGGTGCAAGTTAGGCATAGTGACTTCTTCAGTTAACATAACAAAACAAGTCTGCAGGCAGTTTCTGTTTGTCTTGTTTTGTATGCTTTTGCTTTGCATATCCTTTGCAGAATGCTTCATTTCTTATTTAATGCAAGTATTCTTACTGTTTATAGAAAAATACTTTGATATGAAAAAGAACCAGTGCAAAGAAGGCCTTGATATATATAAGAAGTTCCTCACTAGAATGACACGGATCTCAGAGTTCCTTAAAGTCGCAGAGGTAAACTTCAGTCAGCCAAACTTTGCTCTTTATTTGAAACAGCTTATAAAGTGCTTATTTTCTCACAAAGCAGATACTTTTTCCTTCCAGCCTAATTGCAGGGTCATCTTGTCAGTCTCTACCCTAATTAGTTCATTTGAGGACTGTATTGAAAAACCTGACTACAGAATACTTATTGGCTTATCTTTTACTTGAGGAGGGTGTATAAATATGCATTTTAAAATTTCCTTGGTTACATAATAATTGTGAGCTTTCTTTGAAGAAGAACCTTGCTTTAAACTAATAAAGTAGCTTCATGGTCATCTGCAGCTTTCTATGATTCTAGCTGTATTCTAGTACGAAACCCATAATTCTGCCATAAGTTTTAGATGAAATAACAGCTTCACAAATAAGAAATTGAGACAAGTAGATGAACATGTGATTATTTTTTTAAATATGTCTTGGCTTTAGGTGTGTTTGTAGAGGAAAAAGCAGTTACTTTGGAAAACATTTTGTTTGTGGTTTTTTTTAAAAATGTAGTCTGTTACATTCTTGTTTCTGAAGCATTGCTGAACTGATGTCCTAGTATTATGGAATTCCTCAGTTGAGATGTGTGCTCCTGTTCTTGTTTTGCTTTCCTTTGTTATTCATATCTTTCTTAACAAAAAATTAAGCCGTAAAGCTTGGCTCACTGTCTGTCCTGACAGAATATCTCTATCGGAGATACTGCCTTCAGCTATCCTTCAGTTCATAACACTATCAACTGAAGCTGAGAGTATTAATCTTTCTATTGTAACAATATATATACTGCTGCAGAACATCTTCAGTTTGATCTGCATTTTAGAAAACAGCTTCTTTACAAAACTTTGAAGGTGCTTTGTTTTAGAAAATATATGCTCTATATCAGTAGGTCTGAGAAATTACCGCATAAATTGTGGGATAAGCAAACTTCTCTAGCCTTAAAATTCTGAAACACTTGATTCTTACTCTGTTTTATTTCTAAGGTTGTATCTGTTAAAATGTCTCTAACATGCCTACTTCAAATGTGTATACATTTAGCGGAAGAATTTATTATAGCCAATCATTATAGAGTTCAGATTGTGGAGATTTAAAATGTATATGGACAGGTTTGTGCTTTTTACATGACTTAATCTTAATGTTGTTTACTTTTTGAGCATCTCTGCCTTTAACAAAACCAAACAGGTTCTAAAGCTCATTTGTTTTATTACAGCAAGTTGGAATTGACAGAGGAGACATACCAGATCTCTCACAGGTAGATAAACCTATTATGTGTTTGCAACTACATGCCTGTTTTGGGGTTGCATAATGAGAAAAACTTGGCATTATGGCATTCACTTATGCTTTCTTGCGTACATTGTCACCAAGTTGTTTCCAAGTTTGTGATTAAATCCAACCTCTGTCAGAGCCTGGCTTTTATATGCAGTGATCCTACTCTAAAATATTAGAGAACATTTCTGTCTTACTCTAATTGAGTTTTAAGATGACCTTATTTCTATCATGCTTGAAGATGCAATTTATATCTGTGAGTTCACATAATGAAACTTTTACATGACATTGTGAAGCTGTAGTTCTTAGCAAGCTTGCTTTTGGCTGTATGCCCATTTAAATAATTGTGAAGGCTTGCAGAGCGTGCACATAGAAATGACTTTAGGTACAATTTCCTTCTTAGTGTCTCTTGAAATACTGATTGCTTTCAGTTGTCTGCTTGCTAGCTTCCTTGACATATTTCAGTACTTACTGGTGAGTCATTATGACAAAGTAATGTAGTGAGGAGAGTACATCACCTGATATTTTAAGTAATTAAATATGTACAGGATGCCAAGATGTGGTATAAGTATTCTGAGCCGTTGTACTAGTTGCCCAACAGTTGCATTCTCTGAAAGTCTTCTAACTACTGATGTGCTTCACCTTAGATTCTTCAAATCTGTTCCTGAAGGTCTTTTTTCTTTTTTTTTTTTTTTTTTTTTTTTTTTGTTCGGCCG